AGTCAAATGGCTACTGCCCTGAAGACAACGACCCCTTGAGTAATTGAAAGACTACGTTACGACGTATGAATTGAAACAAACTGCAATTGTGCTTATCAAAGACCATTCAAGAGTATTGAAGAAATTTTCAATCGATTCTGTTAACCAAGGACGTACAGATAAGACTCGTAACTGAACGAAGTTATGTATGTCAAGTATGCAATACTACACACTATGAAGGAACTTTTGTCATCAAAGGATCAGTGAAGACCTTACTTAATCGAAAATTGCTAATCTCTCGAAGATTGAACGAATTTGGTGAAATCAATGACTTGAGAATACGTATTCGAAAGATGGCGACATAACCATATGAATATGAAACGGTCATGATCAGTGAGATCATTACAAAACGTTGAACGTTGAACCTAAGAAGAATTTCGAGGACGAAATTCCTTTTAAGGGGGGGAGAAATGTAACGCCCCAAAACATACCCTAGAATTATTAATGAATAAATAATCAATTAATCACAATTGTTTTGATTAAAATAAATTATTGTTGGGCTTTGGGCCGATATGAAATTTGTTTTGACATCTGTTAGAATAATAGACCAACGCTAGAGGGGGGGTGAATAGCGTTTGATCAACAATTCGCAGGAATAAAAATGAATAAGCGATAAGAAAAGAGAAAAGAACGAGGCACACCAATTTTACCCTGGTTCACCACAACTTGTGGCTAGTCCAGCCTCCCGAGAGACTCTCTCGAGCTACACTACTATCTCGTTAAGCTTAACGGTGCTTAACAAACCCGTACAACTTGAGAATTCGAGTCACACGAACCTCAACAAACCTTCGAAGGAAACAACCCTTCCTTCGAACAACAAGAGAGATACCTTCTCTTGTCAAGTGTCTAAGAACACTAAAAACACTCAAGAACAATACTCTCTTTTAGAGTGGATAATGAGTAAACTAAAAACGCTCAAGAACACAACACAGGCTTCACAAAAATGGCTCTCAAAAGCTATGAAAAATTGAATAATGATTTGCAAGGAAAGAGTAGGAGTTGTGAAGTAATGTTATGTGTAAAACAGACCCAAACACCCCATTTTATAGTAGAAAAATAGGCTCCAACGGACCAAAGTATTTAAGGAGTGATTGGCATAATTTGTGGGATTTGATTAAAATTGGATCTGCTGAAATTCACCCAGACAGCGCTGTCCTAGGCTTGGACATCGCTGTTCTAGGCTTGATTTTTAAAAATTGGGAAGCAATGGTCATGCCAACAGCGATGTCCAAAACCCCTACATCGCTGTTGACTTCCAAACAAGGAATGTTTTAGCCTTAAATTCCTTCCAACGGTCAGGTCTCTACATCGATGTTCTATCCTAGAACATCGCTGTTTAGGTCTGCCTTTGGAGATGGAAGTTTGGCCTGACAGCGCTGTTGCTGGGTCAACATCGCTGTCCAAAAACTTTCTGCCAATGCACTAAATTTTTGGCTTAAGTTGGACAGCGCTGTAGGGAAGCCTACATCGCTGTTCCAGAAGTTTCTGGAAATCCAACCTTGGCTCAAAAGCGATGTCTAGTGACCAACATCGCTGTTGGAAGACTTAACGCCAAACCATGTTTTTAGCTACCTAGTCCGGACAGCGCTGTTGATTACCTCAACATCGCTGTTGGGCTGGTTTAGCCAGACCCATTGTTGGTTTAGTCACGCCGTTAGCCGATGTCAAAAATGCAAGTTCTCCAAAATAAAAACCAAGTTTAGAAAACATTTGTTTATTGCATTTTGCTAAGAGAAAAAGTAAAACATCTTGAAAACCACGTCATTTAGTTGAAAACCACAGCTAACCAAGTTCGTGCCGTTTCGCATGGTTTTTACTAAACGACAAAAAACGGAGAGTGGTTTTTGAGGCGTTTTTGTTGGAGAGCTAATTAAATATGCCCAGAGATAAAAACCAGTCATAAAAAGTTGAAAACCACTTGGTTGGTTCGAGCGCCAAAAACCAATGCCGAAAACTGAAAGCCGAATGCCGGTTTCTGAAGGCCGAACGCCGGATGGCTTGGTTTTTGGCTTGGGCGAACTCCAAGTGTTTTGACCCAAGTTTAAACTTAAGAAAAAATGGTTTTGAACATGTAAAAGAGATTTTTATGAAATGAGCCTAGAGAGCCAAGATTTGGAATTTTGTGTCGGTCTTGATCACATTAAGACCGACTCAATACGATTTTAGTTCTTCGTTCTTGATTCGGGGTTCTTGGTTCTCAAGTCATCATGCCATGTTTCTTCGCCTTAGTTTTGCTCACTTTAGCTTCGATATGTCGCGGCGGTTTGGCATTATCAAAACCTGTCATAAAAACCGAACACAGTTTAGTACGACGTAAGGCGTAAACCCGTGTTCCAACAATTTCCCCCTTTTTGAAAATGGCAAACAAGACGGGGATATGCATACTAAGGGATATTTGTTTTTCAAAAGTTGTGAAAAAAAGTTCCCCCTTAATTTGTGCTTTTAAAAAAATTAGTTGGATTAAAATCAAACGGTCTCGTTTATAGACACGTTCCCCCTTAGTATATGCATATCCCTTTTCTTCCCCCTTTTGACATTAACAAAAAGATTATTTTTATTTATTGAAGATTGGAAATAGCGGAGTACAACGGAAGCATTAAGAGACAGGATAATTAAAACAAAAGAGATAGAAATTCTAGGGGCGGCCTAGTCTTCGTCTTCGGTTTCCTCCTCGTCGCCGACGTCCATCTCATCACCGTCAACAGTGTCGTCGAACTCGTCCTCGTCCGGGGAGTTTGACGGGGCGTAGGAGCCATCCTCTTCGTCCTCGTCACCGTACACTTGCCCAAAGAACGTGCCATGGTACGGTGGGGGGACGTAGATAACGCGTTGGAAGTATGCGTTCATGGCGTGCCCTTGGCGTTGAACAGCCTCGTCGAGCCGCTCAAGGTAGCCATCCATCCCGTCAACTTTGAAGTGAAGCCGATTGAGGGAGTCGGCGATGGAGGCAAGGTTGGCCCGTGCCTGGGCTTCGGCTGGGCCAGCAGCAGAACGGCGCCGGTGCACGGCAGTGGCAGGTCCGGCGTTGTCCGACCGCTTCTTGAAGGTTTGGGTGCTGACCGCCCAAATCTTCGTGGCCTTTGTGAGTGGGCTAACGGTGGTGGTCACCTTGAACCGTTCAAGGATGTCCATCACCACGAACGGGTACGGGAGGAGGTGGTCGTGGTCGGTGGACGCAGCAATCGTCATGTTGATCATGACAAACTTTGCCCAATTGATTGGGGCCGAGTGCATGATCGCATGGATGAGCTTGAGATCTTCACCGGACATGATGGTGTGGCCGTGCTTCCTGGGTTTGATGATCCGGGAGACGATGTAGAGAAGAAGACGGCCATCGGGGTTAGCGGAGTGGATGGTGGGGCGGCCCGAGGCATGGCGGATGAGCTCGGTGATGCCAAGCTNATACAACATTTTCAAAACAATTTTAAACAAACGTTCTATCAATACATATAAAAATCCATCGGAGTAATTTAAAATAATGCGGAAGCCTTTTTAAAGTCAAACAACTTGGGATCTTGCCCGAAAACGTAATAAGCATTAAAGTTAATTAAATAAAGCATAATCAACAGATTAAAGAGACAGCCACGCCATCGTACATCTCCTCCTCAATGCCCTCTGGGATCGGCTCTAGGTTCATCTATCTGATCACCTACGGACAGCAAAAAGGAAAACAACGCTATCCGCTCAGCATTGACGCTGAGTGGCACTCCATTGTAACACAAGAATAAACATAATAATTCAATGATTAGATCGTGCATATGTTTATCCTTTTAATAAAAATCAATTCAACTTTACGTTCGGTTCTTTAAACGGTTGACCAACAGTCAACTTATTTTCTTTCTTTTCAAAATGATTTAGGTGTTACGGGTTTCTCATTAACTCTTTGAGCACCGGTCAAACCAATTTAGACTTTCACCAAAGTCAAACCACTTAACATTTAATGCCTATGACGGAGATAGCCTCAATCCGTAATACCGAAGATAGCCTCAATTCAGTGGAGGTAGGATCCCTCGGGCGATAGCCTCAAACCCAAGATCACAGATCCTCGTGCGCACGTCTTAACCTCACTGACCAGGCCCTGCAGCCGCCCGAGCAATGGCCAATTTCTATGTTCGAGATAATAAACCAATTGACCTTAATCACCGATTAGAATTAATTAATTAACTTAATTAATTCATTAAAGTCTTGGATTTAACCATTCGGTCAAACCTACCTCGACAGAATATCCAGTCAAAGTCCAAGTCAAACAGGACCTAACCCAAGTCAAAGTGAAACCTGTTCAGTCAATTCGCAATCCTCAACAATTCAATTCAAATAATCAATTTAATTCAATTAACCAATTTAGCCAAATTATAGCATAAACACATATAACGATCCAAACCATTTAATCTATTCTAAATGCTATTAACTTCATAGTACGGACCTGGATTACGCCGAAATCGAATCGATAGCTCGAACGGAAGACAAATCAACGAAATCAAACGAACGGGTCAAATTGAGTCAAAATGCGAAATCGACCAATCAATCCGGCGTGGAGGTTAATCTGCCGGCGATATCAATTCGGGGCAGCGGCTGGATGCGGCGACGGTGACAGACGCCGGCGACAGTGGCGTAGCGGCAGCTCGACGGCGATGAGCAGCGACTGGCGGCGCTGCAATTCGACGGCGAGGAAAGACGCCGGCAGTGGAGGCGACGTCCAGCGCTCGGCGTGGCAGCGCTGCACCCGACGGCGATGATGGCGGACTTCCGGCGAAGGCGAAACAGCGGCGCTGCACTTGACGGCGATGATGGCGGACTTCCGGCGAAGGAGAAACAGCGGCGCTGCAGCTCGATGGCGAGGACGACCGACGCTGGCAGTGGAGGCGACGACCAGCAGAACGACGAGGTGAACCGTTGTCGATTGGCTGGGGAAGGGCGACCGGCGCTGGCAGTGGAGGCGACGACCGCGGCTGTTGAAGACGAAGAAGGAGAAGAAGAAGAAGAAGGAGAAGAAGAAGGAGAAGGAGAAGAAGAAGATAACGATCGTGTGGTAGATAATAGGTTTAGGTTTTAATTAATGATCCCATTCCTAAAAGGATTGGGCTTCGGACCCAAAATACCTGATTAAATGGTCATAACATGAGCTCCATAACTCCGATTCGCGAGCCGTCTGAACCGACGCGATCACAAAAATATTTCCTACGAGATGACATAAAAGTTGGGCTTAGAATCCAAATTATAATTTTAACCCCTTTTTAGGCCCAATTCGTGATCAATTGCTCTAACAATTTAATTAATTCTTTTGGGCCAGATTTCGGGGCGTTACATTTCTCCTCCCCTTAAAAAGAATTTCGTCCTCGAAATTACCTGAGTCATTGGTCGTCGAAGAGATGAGTGTACTGAGTTCGCATAGATTCTTCGGTCTCCCAGGTTGCTTCTTCCACCGCATGATTACGCCATAGTACCATTACCAAAGGTACCGTCTTATTTCTTAGTACTTTAGTTTCGTGCGTCAAGATCTTAACTGGATCTTCTTCGTAAGACAAACTCTCGTCGAGGATTACAGCATTGGTCGGCAACACATGAGTCAGATCTGAACGGTATCTACGTAGCATGGAGACATGAAAGACGTCGTGAATCCTGTTCAACTCTGGTGGCAACTCTAACCTATAAGCAACAGGTCCTATTCGCTCCAGAATGCGGTAGGGTCCAATGAATCTAGGACTAAGCTTCCCTTTCTTCCCGAACCGTAGGACCTTCTTCCAAGGTGAAACCTTCAAAAATACCATGTCACCAACATTGTACTCTATGTCTCGTCTCTTCAAGTCTGCATAAGATTTCTGTCTGTCCGAAGCAGTGCGGAGTCGGTCTCTGATCACACGAACCTTCTCCTCGGTTTCCTGCACAATATCTGGTCCCTCGAGCTTACGCTCGCTAAGCTCTGTCCAACAAATCGGGGTTCGGCACTTTCTGCCGTAGAGTGCCTCATAAGGAGCCATCT